GACCAACATAGGCTCGGCCGAAAAGTACGGCCGGCCGGTCCATGATCGGCCGTGATCGTTGTTCGGCCAGCACCAGTCCGGCCGCGATCGCCGGTCGGCCGGCTCCAGTCCGGCCGGTTTGACCGACCGGCCGCCGCAACAGTGGTCTTGTTGGAAATTATTTTTTCGCCGGAATTATTCGGAGGTGTTTTCGGAATTTTTCGGGGCTCGGTTCGGCCGGTAAGTGGCTCTGAAGAGAGGACATCATTTTCTTTTTAAAAAATAATATAAAGGTCAAAATAGTCTTTTGGGGGTGCGGTACGTAGTAAAAGGGGTGCGGTATTTAGCAATTCAGTTTTTCTTTGTGTTTTGTGTTTCAAATGCAAGGATGCTAAGTAGTAAATAGACAATATCTTTTGGAGGTTTTTTATATTATTTATCCTTTCACAAAAAAAAAAATAAAAATCAGCTTGGCCTCACGAACCAACGTCCGGACCAAAATACCGAACCTAAGGGCGCCAAAGGGGTCCGAACCTCATTCCTTTCTTCATCCTCCATTTCATTTCGCGCCGCCTTTGCTTCAGCTTTTCATCAATCATCACACACACAAAACTATCGTCTCCACAGAAGGAGGTGATATTCATTGCTTATGCAATTTGTTGCAGTAAATCTCGAATATTGTGCGTGATCCATATGGTTGAACATTCGTTAACCATAGAAGATGCTTGACGGCAAAGCCGTAGGTGCCCACCGCACTTTAGCTGATTTCCTTTCGGCCCTTTCATCTCAATCCCAGCTTTCGCCATGTTGAGGTCCGTTGAAGCTCTTCTGTTTATCAATCCTTTTGTTTTAATAGTTTTTTTCTCGATTCGTTTATTTTGCTAATTGGAATTGTGTTATCTTCTGAATAGTTTGGGTCTCCCAATTTTCGTATGTTTATCTGGGTTTTGTGGTTTTCGGGGCAGCTGGATCATCTATTCTGTTGTGTGCTGATAAGGTTTTTAANATTAATCATCTGGCTCTGAAGTCTGAATGTCTTAGCTTAGAATCATTAATGATTTACAGTTTCTAATTATATATGCATACGGTTTGAATCTAGTGTATGTTGAAATGCTGATCATGTGTTGTCCTCAGTGGTGTTGGAAAAATATGGTGTTTCATGTTTGGGTGTTTTCTTGATTAGACAGACAGACATTATATTACTTAGAAAATGCAGATTACTGTCAGATAGAAACATCAGGCGAGCATCCGAATCTTTGTGGACAAAACGGCTTAGCATCTCTTCACAGGGTTCGAAATATGGACACACTGTTGAAACTGGCTTGTTTTCGCCCCAATACAGATCACTCACACATTCCCTTCTTCGCACCAAGAGAAATTCTTTTAATGCAGTGTCTGAAAAGGGGAAAAGAGGGTTTTGCCTTAGTTTTATCAGGTGTTATTCAGCCTTTCCCACCAGTTATACCATAGCTCACCACATCCGAGTTGCTTTGAATCGGCTGGCTCAAATGACTACACACAGCGAGTGGGCTCGATTGCCGATAAACCGGATAGCCCAGGCAGTCAGCTTGGGCCTGGCCCGTTCTTACATAGTTGTGCCCGGAATATTCTCCCTCATGTGTGGGACCCACTTAGCATGCGCTCACTCATCCCCTCTCGAAACTGACATCTCTCATCCGAGGAGTAATTTCTACACTCACGCTGAGGAAAGCCATCTCTCTCTAACCAGATTTGTACGCGCCACGTTCGAAAGCATTTTCTTGCTTCTCAGAGCTCTTTATCTGGCAGTCCTGTTCACTCCTTGCATGGTCATTGCCCCATTTGCAGATAACTTCGGGCCCGAATTCAGAAAATTATGGCTCCAGCTCGTGCATCGGACCCTGGAGAGAGCAGGCCCAGCGTTCATAAAGTGGGGCCGGAGGCTGCACATCTGAGCCGGTTTATATACAACTTTAGGAGGTGGAGGGATGTGTCTTTCCCTAAGCCCGTTTACCCGCTTGTTCATCCGGCTGTCTTGGTGGAGACTTTCGAGCATGGAGAGAGTGTCTCTAACTATGTGGATGAGATTAGGGGAAATGATCGTGTTAATAGTGCCTTGGCCCACATTGGAACCCATGCACTGCTAAAGATGCTTCTGGTTTGTTCTCTCTCTCTCTCTCTCTCTCTCTCTCTTTCTCTCTCTCTCCCTCTCTCTTTGTCTCAAGTTTTATTTTCTTTGTTCGTCGTAGATTATAATTTGGTAATGCTATTCTCTCTATCTCTTTTTTTTTTCTATAAATGAAATATTGAATTTTAGTTTAAGGCCTTAAGATAAGATTGCTCATCACATTGTGAAGTGCCTAAGCTGGCTATTGAATTGATTTTAAGCTTAACTAATTTTATTTCCGGGTTCTAGGTTAATAAATGAATATATGGAAGGTCATTTTTGGCATGGGTTGCTAAATAGTTGAGTATAAACATGGGGCTTTATCGGGCGTCGTTATGCAGTTTGTTTGTTTGTCTTGTTATGCAGTTTGTTTGTTTGTCTTGTTATGCAGTTTGTTTGTTTGTCTTATTTTTTGCAACATGAAGCTATCTTTTAATCTCATTTAACAAACTTGGGGACTTATATGTTGGGATCTTAGACTTACTACTTGACCCATCAATTTTTGTTGGTATGTAAGAAGACAAGATGAAAACAACTTATTGAAGCGCAATTCTGAATGCCTGCAGGTTATGTATTTATTCGTAGGTTAAATATTGAGAGTTGAAACCTAGATAGGCTCTTGTGGACTTGTGGTTACCGTTAAATTTTAAAATTTTCGCACTATTGATGCTTACCATTTCCTCTTTGAAGTTAACAGTTCTACTGAAAAAATGGATTGGGTACTACAAAATATATACCAAACACTTCTCTTATTCCCTTACTTGAGCTGTGCTGAAATATGATTAACGACAGATATAATTCGTGTCTGATGACTTTTTTTTTTCCTTTTCTTTCGTTTTCAGGTGGACAATTTTGTCCATGCTGACATGCATCCAGGTAACATTCTTGTCCGTGTGGCTCAGACAAAGCCGAGTCGCAAAAAGCTCTTTAAAACCAAACCCCACCTTATTTTCCTTGACGTGGGCATGACTGCCGAGCTCTCAAAGAATGATCGTGTGAATTTACTCGAGTTTTTCAAGGCTGCTGCCCGTCGAGATGGCCAAACTGCAGCCGAGTGCACGCTCAGATTATCAAAACGGCAAAAATGCCCAGAGCCAAAGGCTTTCATTCAGGTTCGGTTGTCTGCTTTTTATTTCCATTTTCAGGTTTAGAATGATTTTCCATTTATTTCTTTTTAACATTTTTTACTTTGATCTTTGTTGTTGCTTTTGACAGGAAGTGAAAAAATCTTTCGATTTTTGGAGTACGCCGAAAGGTGATTTGGTGCATCCTGCGGAGTGCATAGAGCAATTACTGGAGCAAGTTCGCCGTCATAAAGTAAATGTTGATGGCAACGTTTGCACTGTTATGGTCACGGTTTTGGTGCTCGAGGTATTCATTTGAGATTTGAAAAAGTCTTACAAAAATCCTTGAGGTATTTAGCGGGGTGTATTCATTTGGGATTTCTAAAGACTTCTTAAGTCTTTTAAAAGTCTCGGGCATTTGAGATTTTTAAAAGTTTTACAAAATCTTGAGGTATTTAACTTATTTGAGATTAGGATTTGTTAATATTTTTTACAAAAGTTTTTACCAAACGAATACACTTATTTGAGACTAAGATTTGTTCAGACTTTTAATATTTGCTGAACAAACCATATTAAAAATTTCACTCCATATATCACCTCCATTCTGAAGAGTTCACAGATTTCACAGGATTCCTCCTAAATCTGAAATTTTAAAAAGTCTCAAATCTCAAAAAGTCTTAAAATGCCACTTGAAATTCCAAACGAGTAAACCCCCCTAAGTCAAAGGCAAATGTAAACAAAAAGTGACGAGCTTACCGCTTGAACAATACAGAACATACCATTTTACCTGATTTATTATCAGCTGCTATTGTATTATGACTCCTTTTTTTGTCAGTCCTAAGACTTTTTGACTTACTAGGGCTGGCAACGGAAGCTCGACCCAGATTATGATGTCATGCATACATTGCAAACACTTCTCCTGAAAGCCGATTGGGCTGAGTTGCTTTCCTATACGATTGAAGGGCTGATGGCGCCAATGAGTTTTTTTGACAATGTAGAAACATTGGAAGCTGTGTATTGAATATTCGCACCATTGTATTTTGCTTTGCGTATATAATATAAATTCATTTTGACATGTGCAGCCGGCTCTTGCACGAGCCATATGTGCTGCTCAATCACAATTTTTGTAAGGATGTGTAATACACAGATTTCTTTTATTAATTCATTACATTGCTCGGCAAAAACACGTAGAGAGAAAATGAGGAGCCTGCAGTTTTTTTTTTTTTTTAACAC